AGGCAAATCAAATGTAAAGGAGCAATTTATCAGTGGGGCTACATTGACCCGCAATCATTTTGTTCTTTCTACGCACTGCTGTCTAACCTCGGAGATAGAACCTAATCAGCAGTTCTGTAAGTTCTGGGCTGCAGTTCCTCTTTCTCAGTCTGTGGGTGTATTAAGACCGTGGACATGACTTTTTGCAGCATCAGCAAAAGATATAGCCATGAATAAAAACCCTATAACCCGAGCACTTTCAAAAGGTGGACCTTTCTTCTTCAGGAGCAAACTGGGAAAGACATATATGTTCAGGAGAGGATTTCTCATAGACCTTGACACTTTCTTCAACTGCATTCTTCTCTCCTTGATGAACTTTGTCCATTGCTCAGTAGTCGTTTGAATTGTTGTATATTTCATTTCCTCTCACACAAAATTCTAAACTTATGGTATACAAAGGTTAAGAAGAGTACATCTACCCATAAAACAGAAAAACAGAAAGTATGTGATCATAGCACTAAAATCTAAGCTTATTGCCATAAATTGTAATATCCTAAGACAATAGATTATCTTAGAGTTAAGAATAGTAAACAAAAATAACGGGAGGAATAGTGAAAAAATATATATCACAGAGTTAAATCGAACTTCATAGAAATAAGTGCATAAAGACACAAATAACATTATTCCCTAAATGGACAGAGCACTGAATATGGTCAAGCTCGGTACTAACCTCAAATAAATCTGTTCTAGACTGAGATAATGTGGTAAAATTGATTTCCTCCCATAGAGATTAGATAGGCTGTACAGAATAATGGGAGATTTTAATTGTAAATATATTACAGTGTCAATCTGCATTTTCTAAACCACAAGAATATGACGAAAAACAAGAGTTTCATCTCTTCCAGAGTATATGCATCATTCACGTCATTGATTATTCCACAAATAAAGATAAGAAGGACATAACCACCAAGGGCTACTAGACCCACTACACAGTTGATATCACTATATAAGTTACTTAGTTCTATAGCAGCCTCTTCGTTGAGAGAATTTAAGTGGTACCAAAAGAAAATGACCTGTGGCAATGAGTGACTGGAACACTTACAAGTTATCTACTCTCCACAACCTGTTTCTGTATTGTAAACCTGTACAAGTGCTCAAACGCACACATGTATGAAAAGTTTCGAAAATAAATAGGTTCATCTATCAAAAGTAAAATGAGAATGCACTACTCAGAAAAATTAAAGGATAATGAGATTTTGATGGGTTTTTTTTTCAAAATTCGAAGAAACAAGCCCAGAAGGACATTCAGTATTGACAAAAACTTGTTTATTGCAAATATTACAGGTAAACAATACGAAGCAAGTCGAAAAATGCATATACAAACAAAGATAAAATTAACGAAAAATGCCAATATCTGGCTGCATAAATACCAAAGAACAAATAACGTATTAAGATGAACAAACTTAGCAAAATGAGTCTTTAGTAACTGATAGGCCATCCCTATTGTTTATGACTTCTCTGATTCTGTTTCCCAAACTGCTGGTGACATTTTGGATGACTTGCTGGGGCAGCACGTCCACTCCTGAATGAGAGCAGCTCTGAACTCCTGGACAGTCATAGGAGCAGGTTGCCTATCAATAAATGTTTTCCCTAGCAAGTCCCACACATGCTCAATTAGGTATAGGTCTGGTGACTTAGCAGATCAGTCCAGTATCTCGGTTTCTTCATCTTGAAAAAATTGCTTAGTGACCCTGGTGGTGAGAGGACGGGTATTATCCTGCTGATACAAACTCATATTCAACAGTACCAGCAAAAGGTCGAATAATGGGTAGCAGTATCTCATCCAGGTAACATCTTGCTGTCAGGGATCTTCCAATCACCACATGGAAGGCTGTACACCCCTTTGCACAGATGCCACCTCAAACCATGATTAAGTCAGCCCCCAAAGCATCATGGTGGACAACGTTATGAGCTGAATATCGCCCTCCTTCATGTCTTAAGACCCTCATTTGTAGATATAAAGAACCTGTTTCATCTGTAAACAAAATAGGAGTCCCATTGTTGAAGGGTCTTGGTGACATGCTAAGCCAGCTGTTAGGTGCTTAGGGGTTAGTACAAGGGCTCTAATTGGCATCCTAGATCTGAGCCTGTTCCTGACTGTTAAGTACAATACACGCATCTCTGTGGTTGCCGAAGCTCCTAGTACTGCTGGTGTGATTTCTAAGGGCTAAATTCCGCATGCATCGATCGTATATGTACCTATTACCCTTCTGTGACTCTGGCCTGGCCTCATTCTCCTGTGGCCTGGTATTTGCGCCAGAATCTGTTGACTGCACATTGTGACGCCCGCATTACCTATGCCACCTAAGTCTGGGTGTGGACCTCCTGAAGCACTGTGATGGCTCTGCAAACTTCAGTTTCAGTTAATTGGTTTCTAACAGGTCGCACACTCTTTACAAAAGTCAATACCAGCAAATAATCCATGAACTTAGCATTAGTTCAACAATGAACATCTTTTCTAATCAATCGAAACTAGCCTTTTGCTTTGCAGAATTTGTCATTTCTCATAAAGGCCTATTACATAAGGAATCATTGGTGCACAAACTTGCAAACTCTAGATATGATTAATGTAATACTCCACAATAAGCACGATAGCTTTGAAAACAATTGATAACCTCAAAATATACAAATTTAAATAAACCTCATTATCCTTTAATTTTTATTACTAGTGTAAGTAGTTAGTATGGTTAACATACCATAGTGACTTAAAAACATAACCAGCAGTCTGATATGGCTTGGTGGTCAAGGCTCTGGAATTCACAATCTGCGGGTCGCGAGATAAAAGAAAATTGTCGCTGAACATGCCTGCCTTTTCAGTTATGGGGGATACATAATGTGACGGACGATTCAACTATTCGTTGCCAGACAGCAGTCCAAGAGTTGGAAGTGGATGAAGTTGACTCTCTACTTTTTCTCTAGTCTGTTACTTCAAAATTACGGACGGTAGTTCAGATAGTCCTCGAGTAGCTTGAGAGAAGTTACACAAACAAATAGGTCCAAGCAAGTAAAAGTATAAAGTCACGACCTTTCCACATCCAGCTTATAGAGATATCATAACTATATGCAGAATGCCTGAACGAAAATTTAGAAAACTGAAGATAGATCCTTACCTAGTTATGGTATGGTAAAAAAGATTAATATTTCCGACCATTACAGCCTTATCATAAAGAAAGACACGTCATTTCTACCAAGAAACATATTAAGAGTTGGCCACTACGATTCTTCACTGTACAGTTTTCAAACTTGCCTAAACCACTACAATCTACAAACACTTGTTAATGTACATGTAATGAGTTTTTAGGTTTGAAATATTTATTTGTACACTGTTTTATTTAGCTCAGAATACCCTGACTTGATATTTTGCTATATGAAGCGTGGCAATTATTGAGTTTCATGTAAGAATAATAGTATAGGTGGCGGGAAAATACCTGGTCTGGTAAATTTAAAATTAGAACTAAGTTTAGTTGCAAACTTGAATTTGAAAATATTTAATAATTCTTCCTTTGAAATTAAACCGAGAAAAAGGTTTTTATGTTATACAAACATATCATTTAAAGAGTAATTTACACAGTTAGGTATAAAATATTATTAGTAAGCCTAAATCATCAGTAAATGTACCAACGCCTAACTTATGAATTCATAATATTAATATAACTTGAGTAAGGTATTGGTACATTTAGGCTTAATACTACTGTAAATTGTAATGATTATCTAGTTACTTGAGTAAGGAAACACGTTATGCTAATATGATAATAAATTGGCAAGCAACGATTTATTTTGGGGGAACGTACTACATGTTCTGACAGAACATTAGTCTAATAATGACTGGAGACGGCTTGAATTGGTAATGAAGAAAAACTTTAATATAAGTTTAACATAACAGCAAATGTACAACGTTTCGACAAGGTTTTGTCAGGTACCTGATGATGACAAACCTTGTCGAAACGTTG